TGCTGCCCCTGCCCGGGCTGCTCTTCGGCGCCCCCGCGCTGCTGGGCCTGGCGCTCGCCCTGGCCCTGGCCCTGGTGGCTCTGATGAGCTGGAGGTGGCAGCGGCGGCGCAGGACGGCCTCCCTAGAGGCCCCAGACGGAGGCCAGGACGGTGAGTCCCGTGTCTGGGAGAAGGGAAGGTACCTTCCTATGGAGCAGGTCACACGGGCTGGGGTGGGGCCTGTCGCTGGGGGTCATGAACCTTGGGAGCAGAGGAGGTGTGAACCCGTAGACAGTTTTGTGATGGGTGTCCCAGACTGAGGGAGGGGAAGAGTTTGCTCCTGAGCAGGGACAGGCCCTAGCCCTGATCCAAGCAGGGGACAGCACTGCCCTGCAGACCCAAGGAGAAAGTCTCCCGGTGCAGGCCCGGTTCCTGGGAGCCTAGGGGGGCCATGGGCCCATGTGAGGCTCTGTGGGCTGACCAGTCGGGGTTTCCCACCCATCACCCTCAGTCTGCATCCCACAGCTGGCCAGGCCTCTGGACTCAGCCCTTCCTGTTCTGAAGGCCTGTCATGTGCCACCCCTCCAGGCCACAGTGGTGCTTCATCTACAGAGGGCTATCTCTCTGGGGACCGCTGTGACCCAATCCTGACACTCCATATCCCCATGCTCCTGCCCACCCCAGAGGCCCTGGATAATGTCATCATCCCCTCGACGGAAACCCTGGATGCTTCAGCGCCCATCTGGTCTCCACCCAGAGAAGACCCAGGCAGCACCCCACCTGGCCACAGTGTCCCTGTGCCAGCCACAGAGCTGGGCTCCACTGAGCTGGTGACCACCAAGACCACTGGCCCTGAGCAACAATAGCAGTGGAGAGGACAGGAGGGGCCCCTGTCCTGCATCAGTGTCCCCCCGGCCACAAGGGTTCAGAACTGAATTCAGCTCCTCACTCCAGCACCCACCTGCCCTTTTCCTGGGAGCCAGAGTGCTCCCCGCTGAACCCTACAGACACTACAGATCACAGGGTGTAGCCATTTGGAATTGTTTGTGTGTTTGCTTTTCGCTTAAGACCAAGCCAACTTTGACTGTTCTTAAAGGTCCTCTCTGCTCTAGTGCTTTTGAATGACTGGCTCTGCGGGTTTGGGATATGGTTTGAATGTGTCCCCCAAGGCTCCGTGTGTTGAAATTTAATTTCCATCATGAGATATTATTAAGGGGATGAAAACTTAATCTGATTGTGGCATTTAGAGGTGGGGCCTTTGGGACGTGATTAGGATTAGACAAGGGCATCTGGGTGACAATCATGATTGAACTTTCATGGCTTTATAAGAGAGAGACCAGAAGAGACACACAATATATACTTCCTGTCCTTTGCCTTGTGATGCCCTCTGCTACCTTGTATTTCAGCCATCAAGAAGGTCATCATTAGATATGATTAGGCCTCCAGAACTGTGAGCTAAATAACCCATTTTCTTAAAGTTTCCTAGCTTCAGGTATTTTGTTATAATAATGCAAATCCGACCAATACAGGTACTATGAATAAGAGATCTTTTCCTTTACAATAGGGAAGGGACCATTAAGCCAAATGAATCTGAAGAGAAGACCCAAGTAGGAGGATGCTTAATTTGTAGCCAGGGTTGTATTTCTTTAACATTTGCTCTCAGAATTATTCTGCTTTTAAACTGACGCAAGTGGCAGCAATGAGTAACCAGCTGAGAGTTTCACTTTGGGATTTAGTGCAAGATTATTTTTAAAATTTTTTTGGTGTGTGTATGTGTGGTATTGGGGTTGGAACCCAGACCTCACGCATACTAGGTAAATGCTGTATCACTGAGCTACAGCCCGCTCTCAAGATTATTTTTTAGAAATAACCAGGAAGCTGGGCGCGTGACACACAGCTGTAATCCCAGCGGCTTGGGAGGCTGAGGCAAGAGTTCACAGCCAGTCTCAGCAATGGCGAGGCACTAAGCAACTCAGCACCCTGTCTCTAAATAAAATACAAAATAGAGCTGGGATGTGGCTCAGTGTTTGAGTGTCCCTGACTTCAATCCCCAGTACCCCCCCCAAAAAAAATTGTGCATAATTGTGCTGATTATTGAGTATCTACATCCCAGCATCAACCTGGGCTTGGCCTAATCTGCTAGAACCTAAAATACCATTTCTACCCTGGTGGCAGCTTCTAGAGCTATAGCCCACACCCAGGAGGCTCTACAGCCTCCAGAACTAGACTCCAAGATCAAGCTGAGGGACACCGTGTCAGGAAGCTCTCTCTGGCTGCCCAGGACCCAGCTGACTCCCAAGCATGGCACAGTCAGCTTGCTCAGGGCCCAGCCCAGGGCCTACAGGAGACACCTTCATACACAGGTCAGGGCAGTCCTGTGGCTTTGAACCAGGTGGATGGACCTGAGATCCCTAGAATGCCTTTCCCTCTATGGCCTGTCCTCCCTTCTCGCTCTGGTCCTGGCCCAAGAGCTGGGCTCATCTTGTGGGCTCCTGGACCACATTGTACACTCACAGCCAGCCATCTCCTCTCCTGCCTGTCCTCCTACAAGAGAGTGAACCTGAACGTCACCCCCGCCCGGGAAAACTACCTGGGAACTTGTCGCAACTTAGCACTTTTGGAAGGAGCACTGGACTAGGAGTCAGAAGGTGGAGTCCTGGGTGTTTTTGCCTTTGTAGGACCCTGGCCATTTTCTTTTCCATGCACCAGAGGTTTGCTGCCTGCCTGTCCCTGAGCTGCCCACCAGAGCTGCCTTGCAGACCCTGCCCCTCCCACCCACTGCTTTCGCAGCTCAGAAGACAGTGGACAGTGGCATTTGGAGCCCCAGGACCTTGGAAATTCATATCCTAATCTCTGCCCAGTATTCCCTCTCTGAACCCATTTTAGGTACCAGTACTCCTAGGAAGTCAGGTGACTGGAGTCATCAATGGCAAGCAGTAAGTGGCAGAGTGTGGGCCAAGCGATTACACTCCCCCTCCATCCAGGCCTGGGGAGTCTGAGCTGTTCCTGGCCACCCTTTCTCCCACCCCACTTTCACCACTACAGTCAGGGTCTAGGGTCTGAAGGTGAAAAG